CATTTATAGCTGTGAGAGGAGAGCGCATGCTGTCTCCCGGTGCCTGGGCTGACCAAATACAGCTCTGCTTCTGCTGCTGGTGTACCAAAAGTTCTCTGTCATATCACAGTTCCCTTCCCAAAAGCGGGACTCCCAGCAGCAGGGAAGAGGGAGTTTATCAGGAAGCTGGAGAGGGAGTGAAGGGTGAGTTGGTGGAGTCTAGAACATGAGTGTGAGCTAGGGGCAATGGTAGAAAGGGGACAGAGAAGAGAATAGGGAGTGTTACGGAAAGGGACAGATTAAATGTGATTTCTGTTGGGAGGGGGCTTTTAGTAGGGAATAGCACCTGTTTAGCAAAAAAGCAGCCAAAGCTTACAGGAGAGAGTGAGACATGCTAACCAATTTAAAGGCAACATGTACATGCTTCTTTTTTTCATGTTTGTGTAGCACTGTTTGAAGTACTGTTTCAAAGTATTTGAAAGTATTACTCTTCCAAACCCTAAAGTAAGGAGTTGCAATATTAATGTTAGTATGAATACAGAAAAATTGTGATAATCCTTCTGGTGTCAAGTTTGATCTTCCTGTTCCAGACTGTTCTACTAATCTGTCATATCAAATTACAGGCTTATTCTGAGCTGAAGAAAATGTGAGACTACAGTGGTAACCAGTATTTCCTTTCGTAACTATCATGCTTATTTTTAAGTAGCAGTTAAGGCTTCTAATGTGATTGTCAGGCTGTAACTCATTCTTATTTGCTTGTTTTGCAGCCATCGGATGCTTTGATATTGGGAAAGATAAAAAATGTGGACTGTGTGCTGTTGGCACGGTAAATGAGCATTTTAAGGGGTTTTATATTATGTGCCTTAAAGTTTCCGCAAAAGTTTTTTCTGTTTACATTAGGTGAACTGAATTTTTACTCTGACTTCATCTTGCTCTGTGTCGTTGCTAGCAAAGTCCAGCAGAAGTCTGTTTTTTTTCCTGAACAAATTTGATGCTGCAGGGACTGAGAGTATTAAAAATACCGTCTAGATTAGGAAAGAGAAGTCCAGTGGGGGGTGCTGCCCTAGGAAGATCGGCAGCCTGCAGGGTTGCCTGCTCTGGTGGTAGGTAGGTTGTGCGTGATAGCCTCAGTAATCTGTCTGCTCCCTGTGTTTGCAAATTTCCTTTGTGAAACTGAGAAATTGCTCATTTCCAGATGAACTGTATCTCTGGTACCAATGCAGACTTTTCCAAATCATTCCCTTTGATTATTGAGTCCTCTGGCTGGTACCGTTATTGCTTAGGAGGCTGCATTCCATGTAGTTCTTCCTCCCGGGGTTGTTTTTATTCAGACAGCTCTTAGCATGCTTGGAAGAGACTCTGGAAGCAGGATCTACAGGTGAGTGCATGGAAATTTCACACTAACATAACAATGGATATTTAGGACCAATGTGCTACTAGATTAAACATAAGAATACTAACACTTCTCAGCATCCGAACACCATGGGCAGAGCCAGGTGCTGATAAGAGGGCCCATCAGCAGTTCCAGACAAGTCAAGGTGATGAATCAAGTCCAGTAATCATCTGGGGAGTACAGGCAGGAGCAGTAGGAGAGGGGGCCAGAGACAAGGCTGGAGACAAGGCTGCAGCGCATGTCCAAAGTCTCTCCAGAAGACAGGTCTGGAGGCAAACTACAGCATAGGTCTGAAGGCCATCCAGGAGACAGGGCTGGGGACAGGCACACCTGTGACATAGCTCAGGCCAGGAGTGAAGGCTGGGGCTGGAGCTTGGAGGCGGGAGCACCTAGGCTCATGGGCACTGGGTGTTTGGGTGGAGGCCCAGGGTGAGGCTGGCCAGGGCAATTACCACCCAGTGGTGCACTCGGAGCCCCGATTCTTTTCATGCCAGTATTTTTCCATTAAGCTGCTGACTGTTACCATCTTTGCAACTACACTTCTGTCTGTGGTTTTACTTTTCTTATCTTGCATGGACTTTGCTCATGTATCTTATTACACCCAGACAACATTTTTCTCATTTTCTCAAATGAAATGCTAAGCCAAGGTCTCATAGCTGTGTGGTATCGAAGTAGGCCTTGGGCTACGGATGGCTGAACAACTGTGCTGTGGTTTACATCCTCACTGGGATTTATGACTGTTGACGTACGACCTCCGTGAGTTTACTTTTGGGGCTAAGGTACCTGCAACTGCACTTTGTGTTTCAGGAAAAATAACAGAGTTGCTCGTGATTGCCAGATTAAAAAAAAAAAAGGCATGTATATTCTAGAAGAGGATTATGACAACAACTGCAACATGAAACAATAAATCTACATGCCTAGTAGCTTGTCAGAAATGCTAATGACAACATGGGAATCCTGCCTGACAGTGCTTGATCATGTTGTATGCAACTCCCAATTCCCAGTTGATCAAATTCTTAAGACCTTTTGGTCTCTGTGAAAGAATCAATTGGGAAATTAAGTTCCTTCTTGCCTCTTACATGGCTGAAAATAATTTTCAGATGTGTTTAATCATTATGTGAGTGATATACCTCTGTAGCAATGACAGAGATGATGCGAAAGCTTGTGCTCCTAAGACTAAGTATTTCCTCTCTTGGTGAAAAAACGTACTGCAACAGTGTGAAGTCGTTCTAATTTATGAAAGCTGTCAGATTATTTTAAGAGCAAAGAGAAAAATGTGATGATTCTACTGTTTTCTTTGGGAAGGTGACAGATTAAACAGTGTGTTCTTTTTGTTTTTAATTTCCTGTGATGTGCTGCTCTTTTCTGGGTGGGAGAATACAAACCACTTCTAAGCAGAAAATTTGTAGGGGTGTATATACATCTTACATCAAATATATATACACACACATCAAATTTGTTGTATGGTACGGAAGATTTAATTGCTACACCTGGATTTTCAGAGTCTGTGGAACTGAATTAAATTCAGAGAAAACTGCTTTTTGTGCTCTTGAAGCTGCTAGAGTATATTTCAATTGTATTTTCAAGATTCTTTTCATTGCAGTCTTGAACTTAAAAATTTTGCATTTAAAAAGAGAACTACACCACTACTACTTAAATCAAATACTGAGAGAACCTTAATACAATTAGGAAAACAAGCTACACTAGAAGTAGCTGAAATGATCAGTTCCACTTCCAAGGTTGCTAGGGAAATTGCATTTCTTGGAATTCTCTTTATCTGGGAGAAGGAAGGCAATTTCTGTCTGATTTATTTTACTCTCTTGCAACATGTATCTTTGCAGACATGGAAGGCATCATACAATTATGCCATCAAATGTCAATTACCGTGCCAATATCTGGGCATTAAAAGAAGAAAATTGTTCGCATTTACTGGTGACTACTGCCTGTGGTTCATTACGAGAGGAAATACAGCCTGGTGATCTTGTGATAATTGACCAGTTCATTGACAGGTGAGTAACATTTGTTCTTAATTGTGTTCTTAGTTTTGAGGGAGAAAAAAGGGGACAAGTGGAGTTAAACCATATAATAGCATGTTAATGTTAAATTAGGTTTTTGTGGAATGAGGTGATAACCTCAGTTCTTATGGGAAAAGGTGAGATTCATACAAGCGGTTGTGATAGGAAAGAGGAATGACATTACAAGAATTTCAGAACTAACAGCCATAGAAGAAATACCAGGCTTTGAACTGGGGCCCTGAATGAACTGAAGTATAGCTCCTTGGGAGGAGTCTTCTGAAGAGAAGAGGTGTCGTATTCTCAGATGTGGGGGAGGAACATGGATAAGAGCACAGGCTGTTCCAAGTTTTAAGAAGAATCTGAAATGAGATGGAGAGGTGCAAGAAAGCTTAGTAGGAGCCAAGTAGGAAAATATATGCAGTAATCATGAGGCTCTACAGAAGAGAGATCAAATGCAACACAGTGGGAAAAAAGAGGAGGTTGTTTTAAAACAAGGAGAGATGCTAACATTTTTGATTTGCTAAAATGATAAGGAAGTAAAATTTTTCCAAAGTGTGTGTACTCCAGTCAGTCCTCCCTTCCTTGATTATCTGATGTTTAAAAAAATTCGAGCAAATGGGGGAGGAAGAAGCTAAAGATCACCAACTACACCAAATATTTCAAAAATATAGTTGCACATTTTAAGAGGTAATTTTATTAGTATTACGTATAGGTGTACCATATCTGGAAGTCTTATTGATACTCCACACAATTTTAAGTGTTTGGAATGGTTTATGCAGCTTCTTTGTGCTTTTCTGAAGCTGCTGGCAATATTTCATTGCTAACTGAACATATATACCTAGGTTTGTTCTCTGCAGTGCGGTGCTGTTCAAGTTTTGACTTACTGACATTCTTTTGTGTGTGTAACTGAAATGCTTTTTCTTGTAAGAGGGTATGTTTTAAGTACAGTATATCTAAATGACTAAGTACCCTGCAGGAGCAAGCCCCACATAAACTGCTTCCTGTTATACTGGAGTTGATTTATGGGTGGAGAGCATCTGTATTGATGACAATGGTCTTTTTTTTTTTCTTTTTCTTTTTTTTTTTTTTTTTTTTAATTTTAATACCTAAAGGTATTTAGGCTGATAACTTTGTTTATACAGATTAAATCATAATCATCCTTATTCTGCCAGTAGTACTTGGAAATGAGTAATTTTAGTATCGATATTGATTTATGTAAAGATATTAAATATCTTAAAAAATATTAAACATATGTGGGTACATGGTTTGGATGACTCTGAGTGAAGCACCAGTTATTTTGACAGCATTATCTTCTAGCAGTGAGGGGAGCCTAACCGTGCTAAGCTGTGAATTGCGTGAATGGTTAGAAGTAACCTCTGGCTACCCAGAGAGCCTGCAGTTTTAAACAAGAAATGGTTGGAATGATTGCAGTGTTATTATCTGCTGCAGATGAGGGGTGGAAGTATGGAGAATCTAACTCTTGCAGAGGTCAGGCAGAAGGACATTAACAGAGCCAGGAAATGAACCCAGATATGAAATCTGAGACCATCCTTCATCCAAAATGTCATTATCAAAATTAACAATTCATTTTGAAGCTACTTAATCTCCTCCCACAGCTTTAAATTTCCCAGCACTTGCCAGTCTGCATCGTAACTTCTGAGCTGGAAAGGAAATAATCAGCATGGTTAAGTTTGGGTTTTAAGAACATCTCCCTTGCAAGAAGGAAAAAAAAAAAAAAAAGGTTATAGAACAAATCAGTATATTTATCTGATGTGAAGATGAGTGAAAGGACAGGAATCATTTACATTGCGGCAAAGAAGGCAAATAGTATCTTGGGCTGCATGAGCAGGGGTGTTGCAAGCATGTCGAGGGAGGTGATCCTTCTTCCCGTCTACTCGGCACTGGTGAGGCCACACTTGGAATACTGTGTCCGGTTCTGGGCTCCCCAGTGCACGAGCTACGTGGACATACTGGAGAGAGTCCAGCAAAGGGCCATGAAGATGCTGAAGGGGCTGGAGCATCTCTCCTATGAGGAAAGGCTGAGAGATCTGGGACTGTTCAGCCTGGACAATTGAAGACTCAAGGGAGATCTCGTCAATGTATATAAATACCTGAAGGGAGGGTGCAAGGAAGATGGCGCCAAGCTCTTTCCAGTGGTGCCCAGTGACAGGACCAAAGGCAATGGGCACAAACTGAAACACAGGAGGTTCCCTCTGAACATTAGGGAATGCTTTTTCACTGTGAGGGTGACCGAGCACTGGCACAGGTTGCCCAGAGAGGTGGTGGAGTCTCCCTGCTTGGAGATACTCAAAAGCCGCCTGGACAGGATCCTGGGAAACCAGTTCTAGGTGGCCCTGCTTGAGCAGGGGGTTGGACCAGATGACCTCCAGGGGTCTCTTCTAACCTCAGCCATTCTGTGATTCTGCGATCTGTGTCTTCACTTAGAGTTTATTCAGATGGTCACCAGTAGTAATGGCATAGCCCATTTACGAGCAGTGTTTCATTTGGGCAGGTAAGTTTTCATTTCAATGTAGAAGAGTGGGGACTTGTGGGGACTTCTTTCATGGCTTCACGAAAACAAGAAGCTTCTCAGAAAAGCACATGAGAATGTTTCAGTGTGGAAAACAATATGTAATATGGATTTTTAAATCATGACTAGCTTGCCGTTTAATTCAGAAAACTGACAAGTCATAATAGTCTGTTTCATTTGACAATTTGATTTCTGTGGTGAGTCTTTTCCCTGATCGTCTTTGCCAGGGGATGTTAGACTGCTGGTTCTTTGGAGGTCGGGTCTGCATTTTTGCCTTTCACAGGGGTGTATCATCTGTAAGAGTGATCACATTATGCATCATAAATCATTGTGAAAACAATGCTGCTGATGGGAAGATACTTTTATGGGACAAAATAGATTGATTGTCCACCAAAGTCTGAAAAGATGCAATTTTTCTGAAATACTTTCTAATGAAGGATCAGCATCCTGCAAACAAACTATGTCAGCCGTCTTGGAAAGAAGGCACTGGTCAAAGCTGCAAAAACAGTTGGTTATTTTTGTTGAAAGGTACCCTGGCTTCTATATAGTGATTGACCCATGCCAGAGAGTGCATAGGAGGCAGGCTCGGGTCTGGATGGAAAGGATTTACACAAGCTGCCATTAAAATCAGTGCCTTCTAGGTGTCCAGGGGCCTTTTGGTATCTGGGCTGTAGGGAGCACATCATGATTCTCCGTTCAGGTATGAAGCAAGAAGAAACAACGGTGAATGGGAATGGGAGAAGAGCTAGAATTGAGCAGAAACCTGTAGGCAGCAGCTGTGATTTGCTCCCCTGGGGCATTCACGCTGTGGCGTTAATGACAGGGTCTCAATATATGGAGTTGTGTAGGATTTCTGCCTAGTTTAGGGCATAGGTTTGATTTATAGTGAGGAACACTGAATAGGTGTAATTAGAACTATATAGCATTTCCAGACTTTTGAGAGCTTAATTCTACAGACCATTAGCACTCCTGGTGTTTGTTTTCATATACAGAGCTCTGCTTTCTTCATGCTTATCTATTAGTGTGTGTGTTTAAACAATAAAAGATACGTTTTGTTAAATAAGTACCAAAATATTTACATGGTGTTCTCCCTACTTCCAAATCCAAAAGTAACCACAGGTACTGTTATCGGCTACAACAGTTGTTCTCTTCTTTGAAATCTGGAAGAATTTTTTTTATGCCTTTGGCTCCTGTTAGTTTATTACAGCGCTGTTAGTCACTTGGCTGGATCAGGCTAATTAGGGGCTTTTTAATACTTTCTGTTTGGTTTGCTGCTGGTGTTTGCTAGGAAAGAAGAGTAAGAAGGTGACTGCTTACTGAGATGACTCAGCTCAGTCGGGAAGATGCAGAAAATAGCTTCATAAAAGAAATCCTGTAACAGCTGCCAACGTTATTGTTTGAATTCTTTGTGTCACATGCACCACTACAATTACTACAGTATTGTTACACCGTAAAATTTTTCACGGGAGAATTTTCTTTCAGTGTTCCTGAAGAGGCAGAGCAAGTGGAGATGCTTTTCATACAGCAGATGCCAGTGTGAATTTTCATTTTGTTCTTTAATTACTAACACCTTGCTGATAATTCAACACTACTGGAAGAAAGGGGAAGGTGATGGTGCAAGTGGTAGAGGACTGTTCATCACGGATATAAATGATTGATTTGTTCACTTATTTGAGTTGGATTTTGCTTCCTAGCATCGGTCATAGCCAGCATTGCCAGAAAATCTTGTGTTACTGTGATAAAATCAAAATGAAGGAGTGAAAGCCACCTTACTGTCTGTTTAAAAGTGTGGCTATTGCTGCAGGGTGGGGAGCACAAACTCTGGGCACACATTCAAAATTGCAGTACATGCAGCTTTGAATTTGAAAAAGCGGTAAGGGCAAGGCAGGCACGGCAAAACTATGGAACAGTGCAAGGGTTTGCTTGTGCTATGAGTACCGCTGTTGTCTTGAGCTTGATACGCAAGCGTTTATGCGTATAAAAATACATGCCTCTTTCCCAGGGAGCGAATTCCTTTTTCTCCTGTACCACTGTCCACTGTTTGGCACAGAGGCAGCATGAGGGTCCCGTGGGGGTTCTCTGTAGAGCGCTCTCCTCTACAGAGGTCAGATGGCCAGCAGGAGCTATGCAGCCCCAGCTCTTAGCTGCTTGCTTGTAGTTACCAGTCCAGTGCTCTCAGGTGCTGCTTCTGATCTCCCTCATGGGCAGCATCTTGGTACTTTCCCTTTATGCTGTCCTTGATCCGTCTGGATTGTGCGCTTCTACTACAAATAGCGTGGCTAGTTTCTGGGCAGGCACTTGGTGACTTCTTCCTGTTTTAATGTAAACAATCAGGCAATTGTATAACATTCAGTCGTGCTCTGTTGTTAAGCAGGCTCTCCTGATGGAGGACATGCGGACTTCTCCACATTTAAAACTGTGAGATCCAAGGAGCAGATTTTATCTTTGAAGAGTGGCTGTTGAGTTCCTTATTTCTTGTTTCCTTCTGGCTCCATAAGGACTCATGAGGGTACATGGGAAAGGTCTTGAAACTCCTGTAGTGAGATGAGCCTTAGGCAGTACTGTCATTTGCTCTCTGGCTCTTGGTCTCTGTGAGAGTAAGGCAAGGAAAGCATCTGTGATTCTCTAACCTTCATTCTCTCTGCAAGGGATGCAGAGGAATGGTATTGCAGCAGTGAAAACTATGTGCTGCTGCCCTGTACCTTGCAGGCAGGTGAGTGGGACAGATCAGGATGGCCAACTCCTGACTTGAGTAGCAGGGCTACAGAAAGGAGGAGAGGCTGAAAGGCATTCCTCTGTGCCACCCATTCATAGATAGCAAGAATCAGAGATGGGTTCAAATCTGCCTTTATTCTCACCCTAAGCCTAGCAACATACAGACACATCAGCTGGCCCCGTAACAAATAGCCATGGCTGTTGCAGAGTTGCAGCCTTCCATGCAGAAGAGAAATTGTTGCACTCGAGTGCAAACACATGTGGTCCATTGCTCAGAGCAGCCATAGGTCGTACCGTTGTTACTTGTTCCCATGAAGTTTGTATGTATGGTGCTAAACATAGTGGGATTTCTTTATTAGACCATGTAGTGATGTGGCCGTTCTCTCCAAAGAAGATAGGGTATCCAAAAGTCAAAGATTAATATTTGTACATAATGTGATCTTTCCTCAGGGCTTTTCTGAGGGAAAGGTCCTGACTAGCAACATCTGAAGTACTATAATGCAGGAAATAGATTATGACTTTTCCCATTTCCTCCAATTCTAAATAATTCATTAGCAGACACTGAAAAAAAGTGTGTACAATCAGATACATGCTATTTGCAGTTCTTCAGTATCCCATAAAGGAAAAATTAATATTAGTGTTTCAACCAATTTTAACAGCTGTATCCCATTTTGCATATGTTTTTAATTTGCTGATCTCTTTTCCTATTTTATAATCTCATCCTTAAGGCTACCCTATTGGTTCTTTTGTTTTTTCAAATCTACTCTAACATGTGACTTGTATTTAAAACCTTCTTTTAAATATTTGCTGGTGACTTGGGTGGGGAACTGTTGTAAACAGTGTTACCAGCGGAAATTTTGTATTTTAACTGTGGGTTGAATTTGGCTGTTGCCTTACTTTTCTCCTATAAAGTACAATATGTGACACACTGGGGGGAAGAAGGGCATGTCTCAAAGGATTTTGTTCCAGAGGGTTTTCGCCATTCAGTTGGCTGAATTAGCTTGAGGCAGTGCATTTGAAGGTAAAGTGATAGTGGGCAACAGTTCCAGTAGTTGTCAAAATGGCACGCTGGATGGTAATTTTGCAGCACATTTGACCATTTCCATGCAAGGAAACAGTTTCTCAGTTGAAAGAAGGGAGAAAAAGGATTCTTCTACTTGGAAGCTGTCAATGCATGTGTGTAATCTTTCTGAGAATATGAAGACATCCTGTTCCAGCATTTTTCTGGATCAATTCACACCTCTTTTGTTCAGGAAGCCGTTCCTATAAATTCCCATCCTTTCACTGTAGGAATGCAATGATATGAACAAGCTCTATTTTGACTAGCTTTGTGGTAATTCGGACTTGGTTTCTTTCCTTCCTGAAAGCTTACTGTGCTCTTTTTTTCAGACGTTACTTGCCTGATTATTAAATTTAGCTGATTTCTTCTGGGTAGAATTGCAGCATAATGTGGCTGCTTGTGTCAGGAACAAATCAGCATTTCAGTATCTTGTTAACAATAGATTTTCTCTGATTAATTGACAGTGCACTACTGGAGTACCAGTTTTATACCGAGCTCAATTCTGAAAGGTTTGTACAGAGGCAAAACAAGATTACGGGTGGTCATTAATATCATATTGATACTTTTGTTCCCTCCCAGGAATGCTATGTTTTTGGATTTGTGTAAATTTCTTGCTTTCTTTTCTGTTTTCTCCCTGTTCTTCTCTCTGAGCATGTTTTTTGTTTTTTCTAGGACAACTAAAAGACATTGTACTTTATATGATGGGCAGCATTCCACTCTTTCAGGAGTATGTCATATCCCAAGGGCCGAGCCATTCTGCACCAAAACCAGAGAGGTTAGTGAATTCTGTAAAAGTATTTAGAAATTTTATTTTTATGGCACTTTTTCATGATACAGTAATCTAATTCCCCAACACTGGACACTTTTTTAAAATTCAGCTGGACAGGGTGCTGGGCCATCTCGTGTAGTCCGTGCTTTTGCCAAGAAAGGTTGGGGCAGATGATCCTTGAGGTCCCTTCTAACTTGCACCTCTTTATTCCTGTTTCTCAGGTATGTCATGGTATTAAAGAAAAATGTTAACATTTGGAAGGCATGGGCAGTAAAAGATCTTGTGTCCTCCTAAGGGAGGTATGCAGAAGGTGTCAGTTGGCAACCTAGATTTCCCCAGGGTCTTAATAACAGGACAGAAGATCTTTATTTATCAAGTAACAAGCCAAGAGAGCAACAAAGTGGACAAAGCAGGAAGATAGAATTAAGAATTAGTTCCTTTTTGTTCTGAATAAAGCTGCACCTATGGTAGCGGCACACTACGTGCTTAATACAAAAAATTAAATAAATAGTACTTCAGCATTCACAGAAATTATAATATTGTATTTGTGCTTTTGTGCATTGTAGCAGTGGCTGGTGGTGGAGAGTCAAGGCTTAGTTTAAAGGATGTTAAACATAGAAACAGAGTGCAGTAGCCTTTTATTCTTAACTGTTGCTCTTAGTTTTGTCACTTCAAGATTTTTGGGCTTCAAAACCACTTAGACTAAGCAGTGTGAAACACTGCTCTGTTTTTCAACACCTTTATAAGCTTCTGGGAGGAGTGTATCTGTGATTAAATATGCCACCTAAGCATATTCTTAGACCTGAGGAAAAGGGAAGGTGAAGATTGAACTGCGCATTTGGTGGTGGTGTGGAGTGCTCTGATCAGAAGCTGCAAGGAGGTACATTCTCCGGAGTGCTTTCTGTGCAGTCAGTTACTGCACTGAGCAGGACAAAGCTGAATTGTGAAGCAGGTGGCCCAATCTGTACCCAGAGCATCTACAAATATTTGTACTACTGAGCTATTCTGCTCTTGTCACCCATTCACTTCAGTGTCATTAAAGGCTATTTTTGTTAATTGGCCAGAGCGTGGTTTCGAGATATCCACCAGCAGGTCCACAGCACTGTTAGTAGAACAGTGCTTCAGTGCACTGGGAATCAAGGTGTTTTGGAATGAAGTAAAGACATTTTAAATCTCATGAGGAAAGAAACCACTACATATTATACATGTGCATGCTTTTGCCCTTCTTCTGTTGAGCAGCAAACTGTGCAAAATACTTTGCATTTTTCATGCAACAAGAGCGTAGCCACACGCTCTTACCAAAGATTAGTTGGCATATAGTTGCTTACTGACTTTGAGCATGATGTCATGTCACAACAGATACAAGGAGTGATTGGCAGTACTTCACACTGTCTCTCTCATTTTTTAAAAAAGGTAAGTAGATACACATAAGCTGTTTCCTGAGGTTGCAGGAAACATACACCAAGGCTAGTTTTCATTTGATTGTTAAGTAGCTAGAGACAATGTTCTTTGCATGTTACATTTTTTGAAAAGCCAACAGAGAAATGCTCCTTTTAAAACAGAGAAAAAAACATTTAGGTACTTCCCAGTCTCACATGTGATCATTATCTCATTAGCCTATGTGTTCTAATCAGCCTAACAGATGTTTTAAAGAACATGTGGTTTTGAGCTCTTAGCAGGGCTGAAAAGGGATACTTTCACTTCATTTGAAAATACCAGATAAAAGTGACTTAAACTTTTTTCCTGGAACAATCCCTCAAAATTGTTTGAATCATTTCAGCCCACTTTGTCCTAATTGAGGGGAATTTCATAGATAAATGCAATAATAATAAAGCCAAAACTGTTAATGTAATAGGCTAATTAAGGAACTTTGCATCTGAAAACTCTATATTAAAACTTTATATTAAATTGCATTTGTGCAAATAAGTTAAAATACTCTGTTTTATTTGGTTTATGCACTGTAAATTAAATGAGAATATTAAAGCAGTTTATCTTTTCTCCTTTTGAATAATGTAGGGCGCCTTGGTTATTACTGCTTTCAAAACCTTGGGCTCACTGCAACATCTTATAGGGAGTAAAGTTGAAGTTTTGTAAAGATTTTTGGGGAAATACTGCTAAACTGTGGTTTAAGTCAAATCACAACTGAAGTTGTCTATTGATTTATTAACGATGTGTAATTAACTGGCAATCGGTAAATCATATATTCAGAATTAATATCAGCAATAAATCACAATATTAGGTGTGATTAATATTAGGTTAACTTACAGCATGCTAATAAACACCTACAAATGTCTAAGTGTCCTTCTGTGGCTAACCCCCAGAAGCTCTGCTTTACCCTTACATGCATATTCACGTGGTTGTATGCACAAATACCCTTCCCCAGCACACGTGAGTTATGTGCACACCCACCCTCTTCTAGGAGTGCAGGTTTACCTGTTTACACGCATCTGTAGTGGGAGATGTGGGTACTCCAGCTTTATGTGTGCTTGTGCTGCTCCACACCATCCACTGATCCACATGCCGGCGAGGAGGCACCCCACAAGGTCACGCAGCACACTCAAGGTGTCGCTGCTTGTTGCACCCATGTGTGGTGGGTCAGCCAACCAGCTGGAGTGCAGGCTTCTCACAGCATTTTGCAGGGAGGCTGCTCCACCTGGCCTGTGTGAAGGTCATGATCCTGACACGGCAGCTTCTAGTGGTCTGAGACTAGGTTTTCACTGCCACTGTGTTATGAAGGTGTCTCCTGTCCTGTCACAATTTTTCATGCTGCTTTTGTACTTCTTTTCAAACTTTTATTTTCTCTTGATGGTCATTTGAAACAGATGTCATCATAGTTACTTTCCCCTTCCTACTCAGGACCGTTATGGGTGTCCTAGTCCCATTTACGCATGCTGGTGCACTCTTACTCCTACTCTATCAACTGGTGTTACCCAGGCCATTTACCAAGAGAGAAGGTCATGATGATTCTGCCATATACAAGGTCCTAGTTGGAACTGTAAAGACTGATGTGAAGTACATGGTATATGTAAAGTGTACAGCTCAGTTACTGGCATGGGAAAATGTGGTAATAATTTCTCTACAGATTCCCAGGGTACTCTTTGAAGTATATGCTTGTAAAGTTTTACTTTCAAAAAGTAAATTTCCTATTTCTGTTCTCACCAGCTCAACTCCACCATGTGGTCATGTAACGCTGAGTGGAGCATTTTCACCATTCTGTTCTCAATGTAAGCACAGCCTAAATACCATGCAAAAATTTTCTGTTTTCCAGTCTTCTTGGTCTGCATTGGAAACAGTAATCCAACTGATACTAACAAAATCAGATGAGTTCAACATTGTTCTTGTTAGTAGGACTATTAATTTCTCTTGCTGGGTGAGGAAACTGAAACTGATTCTTGGTTTTGGACAGCTGTAGCCATGTGAAGCTTAACTGCTTTGTATGAAGCTAATTTCTTCTGTATGTAAGTTTTCTGATGGGATGCAAAAGCAGTGCATCAGGGGAATTATTTTCTTTTCCTGATATTGGCATGTTTTGCAGGTTCTTATTGAGACTGCCAAGAAGCTTGGGCTCCAGTGTCATTCCAAGGGGACAATGATCACAATCGAAGGCCCACGTTTCAGCTCTCGAGCAGAAAGCTTGATGTTTCGCAGCTGGGGAGCTGATGTTATCAACATGACCACAGTGCCTGAAGTGATTCTTGCGAAAGAAGCTGGAATGAGTTATGCTAGTATTGCCATGGCAACAGATTATGACTCCTGGAAGGAACATGAAGAAGCAGTGAGTGAAACTTTTTTTTTTCCTCTGGGTCTTGTCCTGAGGGATCTGTATGAGAACCTGTAGGTTTTGATAAGAGATCACATACAGAATGTGCTGGTTTTGGCTGGGATAGAGTTAATTTTCTTCACGGTAGGTAGCATGGGGCTATGTTTTGGGTTTGTGCTGGAAACAGTGTCAATAACACAGGGATGGTTTAGTTACTGCTGAGGGGTGCTTACACAGAGTCAAAGCCTTTTCTGCTTCTCACCCCACCCCACCAGCGAGGAGGCTGGGGGTGCACAAGAAGCTGGGAGGGGACACAGCCAGGACAGCTGACCCCAACTGACCAAAGGGCTATTCCATACCATATGATGTCATGCTCAGCGTATAAAGCTGGGGGAAGGAGGAGGAAGGGGGGGACGTTCAGAGTGATGGCATTTGTCTTCTCAAGTAACAGTTATGCATGATGGAGCCCTGCTTTCCTGGAGATGGCAAAACATCTGCCTGCCAATGGGAAACAGTGAATGAATTCCTTATTTTGCTTTACTTGCATGTACAGATTTTGCTTTACCTATTAAACTGTCGTTATCTCAAGCCATGAGTTTTCTCACTTTTACCCTTCCAATTCTCTCCCCCTTCCCACCAGGGGGGACTGAGCGAGCAGCTGTGTGGTGCTTAGTTAAGCTGGGGTTAAACCACAACACTGAACTGAGTCTGTTCTTACTTAACATCAGTATCCCTGAGTTATTCTGGATGAATGATTGTGAAAGTAAGAGCAGAATAAATTGTTGCTACGTCATTCATTTTCATAAATTTGCCTCACTACTGGCAAACCTTTTGTCTTCTCTTGTCTGAATCAGGGGGTCGGTGTGTATGAAGCTCATGAGCTCTGTGTGTGAGCTTGTCTTCCTGTAACTGGTCTGGTGTTTTTTCTTCTGCAGCTCTGTACAAAATTATGTATCTGCTTTAGTTCTCCTATTTGTGTAAAATACAATCAGACATACACCCACAGAGGAAAGAAGATTTCACTGGCTGAAAGGATTGTGGCATTTTAAGGCTTCACCTTTTCACTTAGAGATGTAGGAGTTAAATGAACTTACTTGGGTATTCAAAATGTGTGCCATCAAAATTGAGAGACACCACTCAGTTTTATTGTATTTCTAGGTTTCAGTGGATAAAGTGTTAAAGACACTGAAAGGGAATGCAAATAAGGCTACTAGCATACTCCTTACTGCTATACCTGAGATAGGTTCCATGGAATGGACCGACACCCTGCACACCCTGAAAGTAAGTACGCACATGAGGCTGATAAGTATTGGGGAGGGACAGTGTATGCATATTTATACATAATATAGGTGTATGTTCCAAGATGTTTCTGTTTAAATCATAACTTCTTAGAGCATATGCTTCAACAAACCAAATCTATTCAAGATGGGCAAACAAATTCATTAAGACTCTCACAAGCTTTATTGCAAAGATCTAGCTTCAGTTTTACAGGAAGCGTTGCAAAAGGTAAAAAAAATAAGGACATCTATGTATGGTTGATGAAGCGTTATCCTTCATAGCACAGGTAAGATACAAATTTTTGTGAGTATCCGAATGAAAAACCTGTACCTCTACTCACCTTTAGCTTAGATCTTAGAACAACGAAAAGCCAAGCAGAGAAGACTAAACCAAACCAAAACCATTGTGCTCTCTTTAATATGTAGAAGGAAAGGAGTCTGTTACAAGATATGGGTAATAACCAGTTTGAAATTATTAGAACCATGTAGTCCCACAGGTTTCAGATCCATAGTGCACTAAAAAAAAATGGAAAAGAAAAACATTTCAAAATATATTGGTGCGGGAATTTTTAGGCAGAATTTTTCTCTGACAAGAGTTTACTTACATGTTTTGTGTCACCTCTGTTTCACAGGCATGCTTGAGATTCATTTCTAGCTATAGCATAGAGGGAAAGAACAACGTTAAAATAGTTTGGATGTCTGTCCAACTTCTCAACAAGCTTTTTGTGACTAGTTAATTCCGAGAGTAGAAGAGCGTGAAGCACAAGAGCAACTAAGAACTGGAATGTGAAAGACAGACAGCAGACAGAAGTGGGCCACAAGGATCTCTGTTAGTGGAAGCAGTAGCAGTCTGAAAAGAAGAAAGCCTGTTGAGGAAACTTTTTGAGACGGTCCAGTCTCCAATGACTCTCTCCTCTTAGATTCTGTCTTTCTCTTTTCTGAAAATTGCTGTCTTCACTAAAATTTGAATGGGTAAGAAAGGTGAACACAGACATAACTCATGTCTTCATATACCTGAAAGCGTGTCCCTGAAATTCAGCTATCAACAGAACTGTGTGTGCTGTAAAAATCTTCCATGTCTTCTGATTGGGATCAAGTTTTGAGTTTTGTTTCCAATATGGTTCTCTTGTCAGTGACTCTCATCTCTAGTTCAGTCAGTGTCCTAAAGGAAAGAGATATTAAGCAAAATTCACCCCAGACACTTATAAGCATACTTGACCAGGTCAGGTTCATGGAGGTCCAACCCAAATCCTTGAAATGAGTCTTTTGCTGATTCTTCACTAGCAAACCTACTTTTTATTAGGAGGTCTTGGATTATGTTTATGACTCTTCCTCACCCAGTTATCTGAAACAGCTATTTTAATGTCCCCTCTACACATGTATGAGAGGTAACTGACTTTTCCCTTTTCCCTTTGCAGTCTTTAGGAAGTTGTATCATGGATGGATAAGGGAGAGAACAGAATCAGTATTCCTTCTTCCTCTCTAATCCACAGAAAACATTTTCAGAGGACTGGGCCACGCTTTTTGTTTAATACAGATGCCTAGCTATACAAAAAAACCTCAGAGTTTGAACAAATAATGTAAAAAAACGTGCTGGATATTCCTCAGCTGTTTTGGTCATGCTGGCATGCAAGGAAATTTCCCAATTATAAAACACTGCTTGGGTACTGAGGGATCTGCCTCCAATTCTGGCAGGTGTACTTCCGTGAGCAGTGTCCTGTTGCTTTCCCTTGCATGATTGTGCTGATTCTTCATCAGGAGTGAAAGGGTGGGTGACTGGAAAGAGCTGGCACTGAGTTTGCAAGGTTCCCCTTTAATGAACGCTAACCCTTCTTTCAGTTCACTGTCAGCTGTTTAAAACACTGATTCAAGTGCTTCCTCCAGCTCAGTCCCTGAAGTACTATTTGCTGAAAGAAGAAAACGTGGTGCACCACAGAAAGGGTCACTCCATTCTAATGCAGCTTCTTACACTCTCTCTTAAGTATCTGCTACTGCCTCGTAACAGTGATGAATACTGAGATAGTTTCAGTTGGACTTGGCAATTCTTATGTGTTTATGCTCTTTGCTGATAGTGGCTTGGTTTGAGTGATAGTATACTGAGAAAGGGGCCTGGTCTGAAGGCATTAGAAGAACTGGAAACAGGAACTAGGTACTGGCAGTAGGGCTTGAGATTTTATGTCAGGAGAGTAGGAGTCACAATTGTTTCTGATTTAACAACCAAGTACTCTGGAAAAGTGACAGGAAAGTCTGAGGCTTTGGAGGCTTCCTCTGATTTTACTTAGGAAGGGCAGGAAAGGCTAAAAATCTTTCTGTTTGAGGCCTTAAATGGTGGTAGAGTAGATGAAGGATTGGTCCTGGGCTTCTGTGTTAGTGAAAAAGGAGAGAGGCAACTATGCAATACAGCAAAGAGAGATATGTATGTATGTGCCTCTGCAGTGTAGTTGAACCATAAAGAGTTTTTTAAAAACTTCTCTTTGTAGATGTGTTCTTCTCTATATTTTACTTTGGGAATTTTGAAGGTCAGATGATGGGTTTTTTTGAAATGATCTTTTTTGGAGGCACCTTTTCTAGAGCTTGAAGGCAACAACTCTTGCATGCCCTGTGGTAATGTGGTAAGGAATGCAGATAAGGGAGGAGCTGAGCAAGACTGCAGCTGGTACTCTGCAATCAGTAACGATGTAAAGCCATGCCAGCCTATATCCAGGTGTCAGCTGGGCATCTCAAATGGGCATTTGCTGGTGTCTGTTTCTAGTGTTTGGGGAAACATGTGAAACCATAAAGCTCTACATGGACACAACTTTTCCTTTCTGAGCTCTCTAATCTGGCTGCTATGACTGGAGGAGCTTCACCAGGCAGGAGAAAATATGCTGCCTGTCTCTTTGCCCAGCTGCATTTATTTGTCTTTTCCCATGGAGGTACGCATCACACACACACGCGTGGTGGTGTCACCTCTGAATCTCACAGTAGTCTTTAGGAAACCCTGGAGTGTTGAAGCAAAAATGTCCAAGGGCAGATTTTCTGCTAAAGGTTAGGCTGCCTGCCATACGTTCCTTTTCATGTGTCATTTCATCTGTGATATGCCAGTGAGTTTAAGTGTAGTTTGAAAGTTACTATTTTTTTAACTGCCTAAGATGTCTTTAGGCCAGTATTTCCTGGCTCTGTTGCTGTAAGAAGAGATCATTCTCCAGGCTCAAGTTACATGAACTTGGGAAAAAAAAGTTTGGAACAAACTTTTCTGCAGGCACAGCATCTTCCTACAGCCTGTCATTTTGAGGCATGGCCAGGGTTCAAAGCCCTTACTTGTTCTGAACAGGGTATGACAACATTTATGTCATGGATCAGGAAGCACAGATGATGCTATTGATCACAGTGGTACAAGTGATTTCTGACTGGTGTCAGGGAAATTTCTGGATAGGATGGGTCAACCATGGGTGATGTACAGCTGGATCTGCTGGTAACTGAGAAGAGTTGTTTAGTGAGGTGATAATCACTGGCAGATGTTGCTGTAATGCTCATGAAATAGTGGTGTTCAGGATCCTGTGGGTAGCAAGGAAGGCAAGTAGCAGAGTAGAGGTGCTGGAGTTCAGGTGAGCATACTTTGGTTTAACCACTGAACTAGTAGGTATCATCTCATGGGAGGCAGCTCTGAAGGGGCAAGGAGCTCCAGAAAGCTAGCAGGTCTTTAAGCATTCTCCAAGCACAAGAGTGATCCACAGAAAAACCAATCAGGAGACTGACTTGGCTAAAGAGGAAACAGAGCTCCAGTGCGAAAATCCAGCATTCAAGGGTTGGAAGCAGTGACAAGCTACAAAGGAATCCAGAAACAAGAGCAGGCGTGTAAACCAAAGGTTGCCTATAGTTGACTCGTGGAAGGAATGTCAAAGGCAACAAGAACTTGAGCCACTGCACTGATATCAAAAGCTGATTGAGTAAAGCATGGGCTCATTGCTGAATGAAGTAAATGAATTAGTAACAGCAGACAATTTCAAAAGGGAGCCAATATAGTAGATTCCTTTTATCTTTGTTAGGAAAAGTGTTGGTGAGAGAGGAAAAACTGTCTTGTTGAAAAGAATTTTAACTCGTAACAACTGGGAATTGAGCTCTATACCTTTATTACAGTAAGGTTCAACCACGTGAGGATCAGGAGAGAATGTACTAGGATGGTAAAAGGAATGTCATGTTGGAACTGATTTTTCTTACAGCATGGGCATAAGAAAATCAGCTTGTGGTAAGGTGTCAGGGCTTCTGTGAATGCTCCTCAGATAAACTTGTTGACTCTGTGAGGAGACCTGCTGATACCGCCTGCCTTTTTTTAACCTCCATACTAGCCTATGTGAAATGATATTTGTTAGATCTCTGATACAAGGAATAGTGTTGTACTTTGATAAGAGAGCTGTAGTAAGTGAATACTGTGGGATAGCTTAGATTGGATAAGGTATCTATAGATGTGTTTCAGCACACTTCATCGTTGATATACTTGGACTTTAATGCGTTTGGTAGCTAACAAGTTGAAGGGCATAAAGGTTGACATTTTTCAGTCATTTTTTCTAGTCTATCACAAACTGAAACTGACATTCATAATTCATGTATGTAGAGCTCTGATCTTGTAAATATTCTTGAGTAATGTTGTTCTTCAAAAAATACCTCAATGAAGTCAGTGAACATACTTATGTGACTAGAGTGAATTGGCTCAGGTGAATAAGGTGGAGGGGCAAAATTCATCAAGGCTTCACTTAAACTGTAGCTGCATTGGTCTACATACTGTGGTCCTTGCAGGCTAAGAACCTCTAAAGAAAGCTGAGACTGAAGTGTTTCTCAGGTCCTACCCTTGAATATCGCTTATGTCAAAGTTGCCTGTCCATGCATAACATGAGCATTTCATTCACACCCAGTCAGTGCACCTTTAGAGAAGGGTTTCTGTTCTTGATAGCTGTACTTCAAAATTGATGAAGAAACATGTAGAAATCACTTTTTTTTTTTTTAAGGAACTTCATTTTCATAGCATTCTGATTATATTTGTAAAGAGCTTTCTATGAATGTGATGCATGTAAGCCAGTATGCTAGCCTTAAAAACGAAAAGCAAGCTGCACCATTTTTCATTTGTATCCTGTGAGCCTAAAGTCCTTAATTTAGTGTTTCTGCAATATGATTGTTGTTCTCAATACCAATAAGCCTGTTACATAGGTTTAAAAAGTTGTAATGACAAGTCCTTGCACTGGCGTAGGGTATGCCCTCCCTGTAATTCTTCTACCTTCTGTGGTGTTGGAGGAAGTTGGAGATACTATGCACATGGGAAGAGTTACACATTTGTAATCCAAATGGAAGCTATGTAGTCTGCCTTTACATTGAAGAGTAATTCTGCTCTGCATTGGCAGAGGAAGCATTTATCTACTTTGACTTTGTATTTCAGACAACAGTGCAGTGTTCGGTCATGCTGCCAAAGCAGTAACAACCTGCATGGACGCTGAAGTTTGGGTGCTCAGAAGGAAGAGTGCATCACTTACAGAGCTGTGCAGAAAAGCCCTTTGCTGACAGCATCCTGAACGCTCCGCTGGCCTTTTGCTGCTTCATTGATCTGAGCAACTCTGGTTTTAGTTTGTGTTTTAAGTGATGAATATACTTAAGTGCTTTGAATGTATGCATTTCATTTTTTAATACAATTTGACTTTAATAAAATAATCTGCTGCTTCTTGTCTAGCAGATGAAACCTATGCTTCTCCAAACTGTGTGGAAATTCATTTTTTTTATTATTTACTTCTAGACATTAGTGAGTGAATTTTGTTTGTCTGACAATGACTTTTGCCATTCACGGAACGGGTTGGTGGTAATACCTTGTAAACACCACTTTTAGAAACCCCGCTTTTAGAAAATAGTCTGCTGCTTAGAACTTAAGGTTCTAAGTCCCTGAAACAACAGGGATTGCTGAGACAGAAGTGGATCAGAATGCAAGCCAAGCCAAGCAAGGGAAAGATCAGAAACATCAAAGGTACAGATTCTCACAGTCATGTAAAAAAAAAAAAAAAAGTTACTCCAAAGGAAAATGAAAAAGCAGGTACATAAGCTTTTTAGCATGCTCGTCTTGTTCTGAGACACCCAGTCTCATGCCGCGAAAGCCTTCACATTACAGATGTTCTCCCAAGCAGAAACGGTACAGGTGCTTTGCAGATACTGGGGAAAATAGCTTAACCAACTTTCTATATTTCCTGGTGTTTTTTTAAAGAACCTGGATTGCAGGAGCCAGAGCTTGAAGCTTGACAATAAGAAGGCTACTACCTTTACTACCAAATCAGATGGCTGGCCTTAAAAATGGTTTTCATTGTTATCTTTGCCCCCTAGACAGTTTTAGTGAACTGGGTTGGAGCCATAAAGTTCATATTTGGATGTTCTAAGAGAAAGTTGGGTTTCCATTTTCAATCCCCCTTGGGTTTGGTTTTTTTTTTACGTTCTGTGGTGACATGTGAGGGTAATTGTTGTGTTAATTTTCTTGGTTTATATACTGAGTACTTACAGTGTCACAGGACCTGTTGGAGTGGGTCCAGAGGAGGGCTACAAAAATTGAGAGGGCTGGAACACCTCTGCTATGAGGAAAGGCTGAGAGTTGGGGTTGTTCAGCCTGGAGAAGAGAAGGCTCCCAGGAGACCTCATTGCAGTCATTCAGTACTTAAAGGGGGCTTATAAGAAAGATGTAGAGGGACTTTTCACCAGGGCCTGTAGCGATAGGACAAGGGGCAGCAGTTTTAAACTGAACGGTGGTAGATTTAGGTTAGACATAAGAATTTGTTTATAATGAGGGTGGTGAGACACTGCAACAGGTTGCCCAGTGAGGCTGTGGATGCCCCATCATTAGGAGTGTTCAAGGCCAGGTTGGACAGGGCTCTGAGCAACCTGATCTAGTGAAAGATGTCCCTGCCCATGGCAGGAGGATTGGGCTAGATGAGCTTCAAAGGTCCCTTCCAACCCAAACCATTCTATGATTCTATGATACCTACTTGCTCTGTCAACATAAGCTTTGTATCTGAAGGTGTCTCATGCAGAATTAATATAAAGTCAGTAACACAGTGGTAGTGTGTAGTGTGGTTTTGCGAAGTTTAGCATACGTTTTATATTCTTTGAAAGGTATTGGGAGATATTTGTCCAGCAGGCTACACGACAGAGGTGCTAACTGGCAAGAAAAGCATAGATAATGTTTAATTATATAAAGACAGGCCAAATAACTGGTTTTAATTGTCTTTCTAAACAGTCCTAAGAAAGGTGTCAAATTTATTGTAGGAAGTACTGCAGGTATGATAGAGAACAAGAAGATACGAATTTCATGTACTGCATTACTAAAAGCAAATAAGACTCTAGCAGAGTGGCCATTCTTAGACTCAAAATGTCTCTGGTTTGACAAGAGTGAGACAATGACACGCAGAGGACTTTGTTGATGGAAATCACCTCTCTTCTGTTAGACTGTCTCTCCATGACAATTTTATTTTTTACAACCATTATTCAGTCCATTGGCTGTGATGGAGTGCCTTCTGTTGCATAGTATTTACACTGCTCCTATATTGTAATATCAGAAACAGTGTTAACAAATACTAACTTGAGGTTCTTGACAAATACATATTGGCTTGGTAAGTGGCTTACCAGGATATAGGATGCTAAATTGTTGGTGTTGCCTAGGTTTCAAACATCTCAGACTCCAAAATGAATGCCTCTCAAGGTCAACTGCTGTCATTGCTCCTCTTACAGAAACCTTGTGTCTTCTGTCTGTTAAACATAACCTGTTATACACTTACCACTACAGTTTTACACTGACATCTCTTATGCCAAAATGGTCTCTTAAAAAATTAACAAA